GAGAGAGAGAGAGAGATGTCCGAAGTGACCTGGCAGCCATACCTGCCCAAGTGTGGATACATAAGACTTTGTTGTACAAGAGTTTCTGAACAATTTTCAAAGTACCCTCACCTCGTGTTGGTTACATCTCGTGCTTGGATCTTTGTGTGATGAAGGGTGGACTGTGGTGTGAGAAGCAGTGTGAATTCCTGAGGCCACTGCAATTGGTATTAGAGACGATTCTTGTTGTCTTCCTGGACGTGCGAAGAGGAGGAAAGCCGGGGTGGCACGCATTAAGCCGGCAGGTGAAGGAAGCTGACTGGCAATCACAGTTGATTGGCGATGAAGAAGGGTGACCAAAGCAGAAGATGTCAGCAGGGTGCTTAGCTAGCGATTCCTGTGGAGCACGCAGCGATCTACAAGCATCTTCAGCGGGTAAGTGAAAAAGAAGTGTCACTGATAAGTTGTGATAACCCTAGCCTTGGATGCATGTGATATGTGTCATGTACTTCTGACGCTGGATTTCGCTGGTTTTGTCGTGGTAACTTGAGCTTCTGGTCGTCTTTGTGTCCCAAGTCACGTCGGTCAGATTAGTTGCATACGTTTAAAGATAGGTAGATCAACTTGCTGAAGCGATCTGACGTCACAGTGACCGCACAGGAGATCCCCCAAGCGGTGGTCCCCATCTTGAGTTCCTCAATTTGGAGAGGCTCAAAACCGGTTCTCCATTTGCCTCGGGCCATGCACTGGTGGCTTAAGTCTGTATCGTCTCCTTGATAGAAGAGATCTAGAGGCAATTGGCATCATCCTTTACACAAGGGTTCTTTCAAAGAGTGGGTGTCTAAGGGCCCCTCTTCTCTTGATTTGGGTTTTTGGATCTTCGATGACCTGTCTCTATTATGTCGTTATTAAGGCTCTCCAATAGAGTAGAGGGCTGAGGTTTTTCCTGGGGGGTTCCTTGAGTCCGTCTTAGGACCGTTTTGGTAATTGTAAGGTTTCCATAATCGTCCACGAAGCTCTGGCCGCAATTGCGGTCAGATTCATCCAGGTCTGAAGGAAATTGGGGTTCCTTGGGTCTGTCGTAGGACCGTTTTGGTAATTGTAAGGTTTCGATAATTGTAGCGTTTTGACGAAACAGCCATTTCGTTGTTGTATTCTGCGAGGTGCAAGGTTCACCACATCTGTGTACTTAGCCTGCCATGGCTTGAATGCATACACAGTATTACACATCCATTTCCTTTCAAGCACATCTGCACCTTATATTTTGTCTGTTCTCCTGATGATGATCATTCATACGCATTTAGTAATTCCATCCTCCCCCCCCCCCCCAGTAGGCCCCGCTGGCATTCTCTCTCTCTATAAAAAAAAAAGAGTTCCGCACAAGGTCAGGGGGAGAGAAGGAAGGGGAAAAAGGAGACAGGAGAGTGGAGGGAGGAAGCAACAGAAAAAAAGGGTCCTCGATTACTCACGGGCATCGCAGACTGGTACAGAATGGCACAAGAGGCCAGTCAGTGTTTGGGCTGCAGAGGAAAATGAGGAGCAGGCGCTGCCGACAGTAAAAGCCACCCCTACAGTAAAAGCCACCCCTACAGTAAGTGGCCACCCCTACAGTACGTGGCCACCCCTGCAGATCGCAGACTGGTACAGAATGGCACAAAAGGCTAGTCAGTGTTTGGGCTGCAGAGGAAAATGAGTTGAGGAGCAGGTGCTGCCTTGTCGCATACCGTAACGGTGCAGACCAGAACAAGAACCGACCTCCCTCACATAGTACAAGATAGCACAGCGGAAGGCTTAAATACCAATGATCCGAACAATCAGTGTTGCAATGCAGACCAGACATACATCATCATCAT